ACACAGTCTTCCCTTTACATGATTTCAGCATCACCACCTTCACAAAATCAAAAATTTGTCCAGAAAGAGACCCCATGGTATATTTTGCCAGAAAATCCTCCCTTTACTAACATGGTTTTGTTCTCCTGCCCTGTGCAATGATGTTTGGATGTTGATATTGCAGCTCCCTCTAGTGTCTCTTTGGTGCAGCTGCTTAGTTTTTCTTCTGTTGCAGAAATGTAGACAAGCACAGAATCTGCCAAAATCGGCAGCCTTTTAAGTATGCTTTCCCTTGCATAATCAAAACAAATATCAGGGAGTTTTCTCCCATTAAGAAACAGGAGTTTTATATAAAGATATAAGACCATTCTAGTTCTCCTTTGTTTCTGTTTTAAAATCCAGGAGAGGCGGTCTGAGGAAGTCATCCTCAGGAGGAATCTTTCTTGAGATTCCCCTTATTCAGGCCATCTACACCTTTTAAGAAAAGAATGTGAATTTTGTTCAGAAGAGATAAGTGAAAATAAGAAACTGAAAAGTTACTTTGATCCCAAATGGAGAAAATATTGGCTAAAGGAAGGAAAAAAAAAAAAAAAACCTGGCAATAAGAAACCTTGTCCATTTATTCTGGAAAGAGTGGCTTGTTTTTGGAAATAACTTTTGGACTAGAAATTTATCATTTGAAGTCAGGTCATTTTGAGGGTTTTTTTTTTCTTTTTAACCTAAAGGAGTCAAGTTATTAATATTTGAAAAATGGCTACTGTGTAGTACATAGAGTAATATAATACTCGTACCTAAATTAACATCATTCCAGGCTCCATAATAAAGATTTATGAGGTACCTATCATGTGAAATCCTATTATGGAAATCTCCATAAGTCTATGTTTGCATGGTAACTGGCTTCATGGTTATAAACCAATTAAAAGCCCAGTGTCTCCCTCTTTACACTCCATTCTTCTCCTATTTTCATTTGCCTTTAAACTAGATTGACACATTATTCTTTAGCCCATCTATGTAAATGTAGAGATAAGGAAGTGCTGCCTACTCTGGTTGGGTATCTAGGCAGACTGTTTCCTTTAGAGTGTCCAAAATGGTAAAACAATTTATCATTTCTTCCTTGTGAGTCACTCTGATCCTTTATCTCAAGTTGATCACAAAGCTAAACACAAATTCTAGTTGTAGTATTCACATTCTTATCTTTACCCAAAGCTTTTGAAGACTTTATAAATATGTGTATGACCATCTCTGTGTATACATCTAGCTAAAGTTAGAATATCACAATTAGAATATCTTTTCTATTTAAAAATTTTTTATTTTATATTTTATTTCTACATATGACTGTTTTCCCTGCGTGTATGTAAGTGCACCCATATATATAGTGCCCTGGGAGGTCAGAAGAAGGTGTCAGATTCCCTGAAATTGGAGCTATGGATGGTTGTTAACCACCATATGGATCCTGGGAACTGAACTGGGGTCCTCTGTGAGAGCAACCAGTGCCCTTAACCACTGACCCATCTCTCTAGCCCCCTAGAATACTGTTGATGTTAAACTACCAGGTGCTGAGTTCTTTTCAGTGTGACTTGACATAGTGAAAAGTAAAAACTTGACTAAGTCATTCTCTCTGAGCTGTAAGTTGACTTACCTAGGACTAGAACATAATGCTGGACTTGACTTATTAAAACCTTGGCATAAATGGTGTTGACCTTAGCTGGATGTAGTAACTCAAATCTGTTTGTAATCCCAGGACTTAGAAGCCTAAGGCAGGAGGATTTGAGACCAGCCTGGGTTCCATAGTGAGTTCTGTGCCAGCCTAGGCTCCCTAAGACCTGATTTCAAAAAATAAAGAGACTTAGCTGGGCATGGTGGTGCACACCTTTAATCCCAGCACTTGGGAGGCAGAGGCAGGCAAATCTCTGTGAGTTTGAGGCCAGCCTGGACTGCATGTTGAGTTCTAAACCAGCTGGGGCTACAGGGACACCCTGTCTCAAAAAGACTAGAGAGAGAGAGAGAGAGAGAGAGAGAGAGAGAGAGAGAGAGAGAGAGAGAGAGAGATATCATACTTTTACCACTTGTCCATTAGCTTTCCTCTATCAAACCAGCAGTCAGAGAACCTCTGATGTGGCAAGTAGCTCTCAAGACTTTATAACAGAGACAGAGAGAGAAATGTTCACATTCATTCATACACATAGAGTATATTTTTCTGTCTTGCTGTCTTTGAAAAATATACAAAGATTTTTTTTAAGATTGTATCATTTAAAATCATTTTTAATGTGTATGCGTGTATTGCCTGCATGTAGGTAAGTGCACCCATGTCGTGCAATGCCCGTGGAGGACAGAAGAGACTTTCAGATCCCCTGGAACTGGAGTTACGGACAGTTGTTAGCTGCCATGTGGGTGCTGGGATTCGAACCCGGGTCTTCTGCAAGAACAATCTTTGTTCTTAACTGCTGAGCCATCTCTCCAGCCCCAAGATTACATCATTTTTAACATTTGCAAATGGTCTGATTTGTTATCAATGTTACATTTGTATATCTTAGTCGTATATAGATTTACTTTACATACTTGATCCCATATCATCTCTGCAACTGCCCTGTGAAGTAAGGTTTCAGTAGTCTTTATAATTGTTTCCTTTATTAGGCAGGCTGAAACCCAGAGAAATTAAGTGAGCATGCCCAAGGTTACACAGCTATTGGCAAGGCTAAATCCCAGGCCTTCTGAGTCCTTGGTGAGCATCCTTTCTGTAACATAGCAATTGGAGTTTAATTTTCAGACTCATTCAACTAAATTTAGTGATATTTGATAGACTTTCAAACACTGAGGAACTGGTACTCTTGAACCTTCATTCCAGCTGGAATTGTGATATGGAGCAAATTATTTAAACGGCCAATGAGGTTAATGGTACCATGTGCTAGATCCACCTCCTATACAACTAAATTATGGCTAGTGTAGGATTTTAAATACCTTGTGACACATAAACATGAAATATTGCCATCAGTGCATTTTAGAAGGAATTCATGTGATTGATGAGCATATAGGATATATTACACTGCATGTGCTTGAGACTTTGAGAGCTTTCCAAAGATAATGTTTTCTAAAAGACATATGTTTGAACTTGAACTCAGCCAGAGGACATCTATTTCAAGATCAGAAGTTTCCTTTAAAAAGAAATATAAAGCATTTGTCAAACTGATTAGGTAAGTAGGTAGCTGAAGACTACGGAGCTTGTTTTCAGAAGTCTCAGTAGATACATAAGTACTTAGTTCCATGGTGTGGATCAGTGCTATCAAGTCTCTAATCTTAATAACCATAGTAAGTGAGAAAGAGATGCACTGCTCCCGAGACTTGCTTCCCCTTTTGTCTTTCCTTTTTGCTATTTGAATGGAAATCAAAGTATATTACGTTTCTAAACTGGGGATCCATCTGCATCTCCTAAGAGAATTCTGTGTCTCTTTTTAAGAAAAAATGATTGAAAATATCATTTTTAAAGATATGTTCTTTTTCCATATTACTGTAACAGACAGGCAGCATACACACTACCAAGAGCACTTATTGTTGGGAGTCTTTGATACCTGAAGCAGTGTCCCTGTGTGGGGCAGGAAGAGTAGAAAATGCACTGTTAGCAGGGTGTTGATGGGCTTGCTGCCCAGGCTCTTGTAATCTGTGAACTAGTAGTAGACTAAATCTTCCACTGTCAGCCTCTCCAGACCCATTTGGGGATAATTTTATTTATTTATTACTTTTTTTTTTTTTTTTTTTGGTCTTTTTGAGACAGGGTCTCCCTGTAGCCCCAGCTGGCCTGGAACTTACTATGTAGACCAGGCTGGCCTTGAACTCACAGAGATCTGCCTGCCTCTGCCTCCCGAGTGCTGGGATTAAAGGCATGCACCACCACGCCCGGCTATTTATTACTTTATAACCCTTTGAGATCAGAAATACAATGTCGCTTACAGCATGTAGAACTACTACTTGATGTTTTTGATTAGAAAACTCTTGAGTCAGGCCAGGCATAATGGTACACACTTTAATCCCAGCATTTGGGAGGCAGAAGCAGAGGCAGTGAGTTCAAGGCTAGCCTGGTTTACATATCAAGTTCAAGGCCAGTCACAGCTACATAGTGAGACCCTGTGTGTGTGTTATTTGTGTGTGTTTGTCACATGTGTGCGGGTGCCCATGGAAGCCGGAAGAGGGTATCAAATCCACTGGAGTTAACAGGTGGTTGTGAGCTCCCTGATGTGGGTGCTGGGAACTGAATTCAGGTCCTTTGGAACAGTAGCCATTGTAGTGGGAGTGAGATAATATGGTTTTCATTTGCCTTTCCCTGATGGTTAATGATAAAGTATACATATGTGTATATCTGTTGAGGTTCTTTGTTTAATTTTTTTGTTCCTTATATATTCTGAATATTAGCCACTTGTCAAATGTGTAGTTTCAAATATGTCTCCCATTTTGTTATCTCTTCAGTCTTTTTCCTTTGCTGTACAGAAGCTTTTTAGTTTAATGTACTCTCATTTGTCTGTTTTATCTTTTGTTTCCTATCCTTTTAGAGTCTTGTTCCAAAAAATCCTTGCCTAGTCCAGTGTCCTAAAGCATTTTCTCTGTGTTTTCTTCTACTAGTTCTACAGTTTCAGGTGTTGAATTTAAGACTTAAATCATCTTGAGTTGATTTTTGTAACTGGTGAGGATGGGGGTTAAGCTTCATTCCTTTGCATGTTTACATCCAATTTCCCAGCACTTTTGTTGAAACCCTCATCCTATTTTGAAGGGCTGGTATGAAAAGTAGAAAGGGTACACATAAAACTCTAAGCACACAGCCTTGCATGTAAAGGGTCCTAAGAAATGGTTACTACCAACAACAGTACTGTCACTCAATATGGAGCTGCCAAGGCCCTTTCTGAGGACTTCACTTCACTGTGTGACTGTTTATTCTTACTGGGTCACCTTCCAGTTAATCATCCTTACTTAGCACATCATATGTCTAGTTATGAAAGCAAGAGTTTTAAATTGTGTTTCTTGCTCTCTTTCAGATCTGTAAGAGCAAAGCTAAAGAATCTCAGCAGTATTATCACAGCTTGGCTGTCCGACAGAGTCTGGCTGTACATTTTAACATCCAGCAAGACTGTGGTCATTTCCTTGCTGAAGTCCCTAACCGTCTGCTTCCCTGGGAAGATTCTGATGCCCCTGAAAAGGCAGGGGATGAAATGGAAGACATTGAGGAAGAGGCGAAAGAAGAAATTGATGAAAAAAATCCAGAGCCCTGCTCTGAAACAGAGTCATCGGAGAAAGAGAGCCAAGGAGTCACAAGCAGGAAGCAGAGAAGCCATGTTGTAGTCATCACCAGAGAGGTTCCCCATCTCACTGTGGCCGACTTTGTGCGAGGCTCTTTGCCCCATCATGAGAAAAGCCCTGACTTGTATGAGAGGCAAGTGTGTCTGCTGCTCTTACAGCTGTGCTCTGGCCTTGAGCATCTCAAGCCCTACCATGTCACTCACTGCGATCTACGCCTTGAGAACCTGTTGCTTGTCCACCACCAGCCCGGGGGAACTGCCCAGAGCCCTGGGTCTGCAGATCCTAGCCCCACCTCATCTTATCCCACAAGGCTTATTGTGAGCAACTTCTCTCAAGCCAAGCAAAAGAGCCATCTGGTGGACCCTGAGATACTCCGAGACCAGTCCCGCCTTGCCCCAGAGATCATCACAGCCACTCAGTATAAAAAGTGTGATGAGTTCCAGACAGGCATCCTCATCTATGAGATGCTGCACCTGCCCAACCCTTTTGATGAGAACCCAGAGCTGAAAGAGAAGGAGTACACCCGTACAGATCTGCCTCAAATCCCTCTCCGTTCTCCCTACTCCTGGGGCCTGCAGCAGCTGGCCAGCTGCCTCCTAAATCCCAACCCTTCTGAGCGCATCCTCATTTCTGATGCCAAAGGCATCCTTCAGTGTCTGCTCTGGGGTCCTCGTGAAGATCTTTTCCAAACCTTCACCACTTCCACAAGCCTAGTGCAGAGGAATGCCCTGCTCCAAAACTGGTTGGACATTAAGCGAACACTGCTGATGATCAAGTTTGCTGAAAAGTCCTTAGACAGAGAAGGGGGCATAAGCCTCGAGGACTGGCTTTGTGCTCAGTATCTGGCTTTTGCCACCACAGACTCCCTGAGTTGTATTGTAAAAATCCTGCAACATCGTTAAAAAGCCTGGATGTTGCTTTTATTATTATATGTTTCCACCTTCTTCATCTTGCCCCACATGTCCCTATCCTAGTACTCACTCAGAATTCAAGGGAAGGAGAGAAGCCAACCTGCCATCTTTGTTCATGAACAGATGGGTCCATTCAGAAAGGTCATCCACAGCTCCAACCAGAGTGAAAAGCTGAGTGTGTCCTAACTTTACAGAAATTCAACTGCACAAACCTGCAGTTGCCTTCCCTTGAAACATCTATAATCCTGATAGTCCCACATAGATGGGCTTAAATTTAAAAGTGCACATCCATGAAGGACCAGCTCCTGTGAAGTGAACTCAGTGGGCTGTGTCCAGCTCTTCCATAACTCATCTGTCCTAACTAGCTAGCAGTAGACATGTCACCAACCTCAACTGCCATCCAGTAATGCTCTCATAATAGATTCCTCTTCAAAGTATCAATAACTGCTTCTTTACCAGGCAGACATGACATCCTTAACAGCTCAGTTGTGGTTACCAGGGACTAGCCTTCATTGTAGTGAAGAGTCAAAAGGAAAGGAGGGATTCTCAAGTGTTGGCTTATAGGCCCATTTTAATTTTTATTCTTAGTAAATGTGTGTACTACACGGAGAACAGCCCTAACAGCCTCACCCCTACTGCCACTGCCTGGTTGTCCTTCACCTCTCTCTGTCCCCACCTGCTGATGAAAGTTAGTTTATCATCACTTCTTGTAGCCCATTACAGAGCTGACCCAGGGCCCCAAGGCAGTGCCACCAATGCTTCAGCAGACAGAATGCTGTTCAGAGCTTATGAATAGTTGGCAGGAAATAAGGATATAATTTCCTTGCATGTTCAATTCTCCAGGGCCCTCAGGGAACAGACTTTAAAGTTCCGTTCTTTGATTGCTGTCAGAGCTATCAGCATTGGCAACCAGGACTAGTGGTGCCTGGATCAGTTTATCCTACAAGCAGTAACTGGCCAGCTTCCTTCCATTAGTAACTAGTATAAACTAGTCGACCAAATGCTGTAGACAGCAGCCCTGAATGAGATGACTGTCTGTTTTAGCATCAAGATCTCCTTAGAGAGCACCTTGAAGCAACTATTGGAATGGCCAGAAGGCAGAGGATGGGGAGAAAGCCACTGAGATGGACTGACCCAATCCTTAGAATGCCAACCTCTTCCACAGTGACTGCCTCCCTAAATGAGTGGCACATTGCTCCTAAGACTCTAAAACAGCTCTGGAGTTGAGCTCCAAGAAGGCTGATGGCTGAAGTGAATGGCTGAGAGCTGTTCCCTGTGGAGCCTGTGCTCCTCTCCAGCAGATAAATGTGCAATTTTTATATGTACTTTTTAAACTGTATATTACAGTGTTTATGTTGCAACTTTACCTGAGTGAGATCTACAGAAATCTTCCCTTCTTCCCTTGGCACATATTTGCGCTAAGAGGCGAGTGTCGCTCTGCGTGTGTGTGTGTGTGTGTGTGTGTGTGTGTGTGTGTGTAAGACAGAGAGAGAGAGTTTATGTACGTTCATGCACTTGTTTTATTCAAAACTGTGAGTATCTGTTTACTTCAACCTTGAAATCCCAAGAGTCACTTGAATAGTGAGTGTGTACACATGTGTGCCCATGTGCCTGCACACACAAGCTGGAGATAGAGGCCAGGCCTCTAGGGGAGCAACCTGTGGCAGGGTTGACAGATATGTTCACTGCACTTGTCAGTGAGGGAGCCCTGGACCCCCCCTTCCACCAGCACAGTTTTTTCTTAAAGCCAAGACTGACTGTGCAGTATTACTTAGGTGGCACATTAGTGGCCTTGGAAATTTCTAAACTTTTAACATTTTTAACAGCCTTTCATATGATTCACCTATATCAAAGAGGATCAAGAAAGGAAAAGAATGTATTTTACTATGCTTTGTTTTTAAGAGAATGATATGTGTGAGGCTCCATATGGAGGATGATTGTGTCTTCCTGGCCAGCACTTAAATACTTCCAGAAAAAAAGAGCTAGTCTGCCCACAGAGAGTCTTTCCTCTTCTAGACAGAATAGCTGTGGAGCAAGCATGCTGCTGTAGGCATGAGTCATGACTGCACCATGCCTGGCAGGCTGGGGTTTGGCTCATCTTACTATAGCCCATGTGCACATAACTCTTTGCCTAATTATGCACTGAACTGGCAGCACAAAAGACCACTGACCACATCAGCTAGCACAGCCCTTCACTTCCCACAATGTTTGCAAATTGAGACATACTGTTTCAATGTCATTCTCATGGTGCCTTGCCCATGTAAATTTGAATGTTGACTATTTAATGAGGTTACATATTTAATGCAGAATGTTCCCTACTTTCTCTGCTCTGTCTGTAGGTATCTTTTTCCTTTTCCCTTTTTTGTGTTATATCTTGGATCCAGCCTTCCCTTTCACACTGCAATAGAACAGGCATGCACCTCTCCACTACCATCATCTCACAGCACTGGTCACCTGAGCACCTCTTCATACCACATGTTTCTTACTATTTATATGTCCCTCATAGTGAAGGGCAAGAAGTGCCAGCTAACTGGAGAAGGGCCTCAGGCTTCCAGAGACAGATGGCTGTGTTAATTCTCTCTGGATAATGGCCACAGAATGTGATTTTTTTCTTGGGGGGGTGGCAGAGTCCAGGTTAGGGCAGAACAGAGACAAGAACTATATTTCTAGGCAAGAAGTCCATCAGATGGGCCTCTGAGCATTTCCCAAAATAATGAAATTCAGTCAGTAAAACATTATCATAAGCATTTTACATTTCCATTTTAATTGTAGGAACCTGAATTCATCATCAGCTGAAAACAAATCCTGCCCCTGGAGACACAGATACACATTTTATACACACACACACACACACACACACATGAATTTTGGAGTGTGATTAGCATGGCACTTTAAGTTTTGACAAGTAATGTCTGTATTAATTGGATTTTTTTTCTTTTCTATTAAAGTTTCTACCATAGATTCTTCTATTTATGTTGAGAGTTTGAACAATTAAGCCCCTATTGGAACTTTTCCTTGGCCACATGAGCATCAGCAATCTCTCAGTACATGTGGGTGCTAGAGACAGGACTGTAGCTAGAGTAGGCAAGAGCAGAGTGAATGTATCTTAGAGTGCCTTGTTAGAGTAGTAACCTAGCATGGAAGGAGGAGTCAGCAGTGAGAGGCCTTTGGGGATGCTGACACCCACGTGGTGTGCAAAAGTTAATTGTGAAGAACAGCGACTGGATGAGCAGGTAAGAACTTAGAACCTGAGGAACAACAGCATGATATTCATGAAGAAAGTCCACCAACCCCAAGACTGAGTGAATATTAGGAACCAGACCTAAGGCACTGAGTTTCAGGATTTGCCCTCAAGAGATGGACTGGGTTAAGGTCTGAAGGGGGCACAAGCACCCCCATATGCCTCAAACCCCTGATGCTGAGGGATGAGAAATAAAACCTCCCATTGTCAGATTAGATGGAGCCAGTTCTATTTCCAAGCTGAACATGTATTTAAAAACATGGAAATCTAAGCCTCTAGAAATATTGATGGTATTTCTGGGAATAAAATACCTTAAATTTTATTTCAAATGTAGAATTGTAAAATTCCCATGAAGTTTCTTTGGAACCCATTAAATAGGTCATAGAAGGCTTACACCCAGCTTTCCAAGTTTTATTTATGAGTAATTCAGCATTGGAAAGTCACCTGACATTAGCTGATCACCTACAACTAGGATTTTCCCATAGCTTTTGCCCAGAATGACCTGAAAAAAAAAATACAGATTAGTCTCAGAAATTAGGATGGATTTAGGATGCTGCTTTATATTTTGGGTTATTCCGCCTATATAAAGTATGAGCACACTTGGAAACAAAAGAGGAATGCAGCTCCCTGGGCCAATTCTGGCATGCTCTACATTCCCCTCACTAGTGGATAAGGATTAAAATTCTGGTCCAGCCTAATGAATGAACAGGATGGCTGCCCATAAAACTGGGTTCTTAGATTTACCTCATTGAAGCTCATATTCTCAAAGGCCCAAAGTGCTATGCTGAGACAAACCCAAGTGTTGGCCCTGCTGAAGTGTGCCCTGATATCCATCTGCCCATATTCACAGTAGTGCACAGGTGGGGATGCCATGGACCAAAACCAGTGCCCCAAGAGAAGCCAGAAGAGCCATAATGCAAAATCCTAGACATATTATACCAAAGAAATCAAGCCTTTTTATCCTGATGCTTCACAGATGATGAGGCTGAGCTGTGACAGATGCCAGGGGAAGGGAATTCACATACATTCCATGTTCAGGGTATTCAGCTAATCTATCCTCAAAAAATCTATGTTTTCAGGAAGTCCATTTTGTACATTAGAAGAAAAAGATGATGGTGGTGATAAGGGTGAGGGGGAGGTGGTGGCAGCCTAGAGCAGATAGTGCGGTTCTCTAGTTTCTAACCAAAAGGAGCTCTAACAGCCTACTCACCAGGGCTGACTGTTGCCCAGACCTTAGCTCAAGAGCATCATGTCCACATAATTGGAAACTTGGGTTTGGGTTTTGTTTTTGTTTTTTTAAGAGGAGGTAGTTTCCAAAGGTTTGTTTAAAGAACTCTTGGGAAATTTCTTAACACACTGTATCATTTTCATAAACTTCCTACAAAAGGCGTTTATCATTCAGCATCACCATCTTTTAATATGTATAAGTGCCCAGACTGTCCAAGGTGCTACACAGCTGTTATATACCTACTCCCTGCAGCTGTTTGAAATTAGAGATTTCTGCATCAGCTGTTTCCAGAAACTACCCATGTAGGTGGGCTGCAGGGGTCTGCATTCCAAACATCCCTTACATGTTTCCCCTTCAAGAGCCTCTACATCTGTTCTGATTCTCACCCCATCCCACCCCACCCCCATGGTTTTCTAAATCAAGAAAGTTTCAGGGAATCAAAAGAGGTCGGAATTTTTTTAACCTAGCAGAATTACAGAGTTATATATTTTGCTACGAGTATTGTTGTAGTACAGAAAATCCACTTTGCCCATTAGTATGTGGCTGGTTTGTATGTGTGTGCACTCTTAGTAACTTGAATGTTGAGCCAGCCTATGGCTTCAGTGTAGCATTGATGAAAGATTAAACCACACTGCTTCAGGAAGCCTGCTCCAGTGCTCCTTTGTTACCCCTCCCTTACCAGTTCTAAAGAGTGCTGTGTGTGAGCACACTGGGCTAGGTTTTCTGTTCATGATATGGAGGGCATTTTGGTGTGAGATCAAGGCAGAAGCAAGATGTGTACCATCTCAATGATTGAACCATGACAGCCCTTTAATTCTCCATGGCACTACCCACAATCCATATTGGAAAATCTTGTTTCTCTTCCTCTCTCGAGAGCTTTATCCCTCCACTTACATATTTTTTAGAGTTGTATAAATCTATCATAACAGGTCCCCTATGTCACCAGTGGCACCACCCTTTGGTTTGCTGTGGTTCTTTGCTGTGTACTCTGTGGCCTCATGTTACTGTGTAAATAAATTCAGTTTAATATACACTAAACCAGACTTCAAGTTCTTGTCCTTTTAGCAACACTGACATGCTGGCAATGGTTTGGTTGAGGACATGGCTCTCATTCATCCCCCAAGCATGGCCGCCTACCCTGAAATATGGAAGGAACAGCTTTTAGCTGCCCTGCCCTCTGCCCTCTGCCCTCTGCAAACTGGCCCCTTACTGACACTAGGATTCCCTGTAATCTGAGAAAAGGAGGCCATCAAAGAGCAAATGGAGGCATTCAGGGCTCCCTCTGTTCTGAGAAGGCTGCAAGTTTTCTGTGTGAGAGTGCCCCCTGGTGACCAGTCACTACAGGCTGCCTGGTTCCAGTCACAGGGTGTGAGGCTTGGCTGGCAGGTTTGGCTGACTCTCACAGTGGTTATCAGAGAGCTGTGCAGGGACAAGACCTCACCTACATAATTCATATGCCTTGGGCTTATTCCTTAAGTTACATGGTTATATAAGACATCCAAAGACAGACAAGCTAGTAAGCAGACAGCAGAGAAGACCACCTGTCTTAGGCAGAAAGAAGTGGTAGGCACAGCTGCCAAATTGGTGAAGTCGCATAGCTGAAAGTGCAAACGTGTAGACTTTAAATATAGACCAGGTCTGTGAGTTCTAACCCCTACAGAAGACAGTCTCCCATGGCATTTCTGCTTTTCTCCATTAGCCAGCCCTCTGGAATTTGCAAACTGTTCTTAAGGCACACTCCAGAAAAGTGGCTGCCAAACTCGGAGTTCTGTGTTGCTAAAGAGCAAACTCCATATTAATGTGGCTGAAAGCTGTACTGCCTGGACTCAGGAGGGAGAGCCAGCAGGCAAACTGACTAGATATCCAAGGACACAGGCTCTGCTTCCTGCAGGGAGACCCTAGGCTACTGCTCTAAATTAGTTGTTAGCATAATGCAGGGCTTCTGGGGAAGTGGGCATTGGAACCTAAAGGTCACAGGGAGGACTGCTAGCTCTGCTACATGAATGGCCACCCTGGGACCCTAAAAGACCAGGAGGTGATGGGCCAGTCAGGGCTGCCTTAACCAAACTCCACTCCAGGAAAGCAAAGCAGGTCAGAAACACCTGAATGTCTGCTCTTAAGTGGGACCACTTTTGTCTTTTGGAAGGCCAGAAAAGTCATCTGCACTGCCTCTTCCAGCAGGGAACCCATTCCAGGAAGCTACTAGTAAGCCCAAACAAACCACCCTTCTCTCTGACTCTAGGTTTTTCAGAGGACATGGACCACTTACACTTGGCATCAACATGCCTGCAGAGTGACTTCTTTCAGCCCGTACACAGAGAAGCCCATTTCTTTCCTACCTGGAATAAGCTAGTCCAGGGAGCCCTCTACTCTGCTGCCTACACTCTCCAACAGATGCTTGAGCTAGAGTCAAACTAAAAACAAAAAAACCTTCAGGTGGGGTGGAGAGATTGGTCAACAGTTAACATTTACTGCTGTTTGCAGAAGACCTGAATTTGGTTCCCAACACCTACATGTAACAGCTCACAACCACCTATAATTTCAGTTCCAGGGAATCTAATGCCTCAGGCCTCCTCAGGCCTCAGCATTAATGTGCACAGACACACACAATTAAAAATAAATTGTTTAAAGTTTTTTTTAAAGTCAGACCTTGTGGTTATCTTTCCACTCTTCCTCACACGAAGAGCCTTCTTTTTTTTTTTTTTTTTTTTTTTTTTTTTTTTATTTTTTTGAGACAGGGTCTCCCTGTAGCCCCAGCTGTCCTGGAACTCACTATGTAGACCAGGCTGGCCTTGAACTCACAGAGATCTGCCTGCCTCCGCCTCCCAAGTACTGGGATTAAAGGTATGTACCACCACACCCGGCTATTTTTTTTAACTGAATTTTTGCAAATTTCAGACAAATTTCAATCATATTTAGATCCCCTCCCTTATCTACACCCCCTTACTACCCCCATTAAATTTCACGTAATATATGTCATTTTTGTCTTTTTGAGACAGGGTCTCCTTGTAGCCCTGGCTGACCTGGAAATCACTATGTATACCAAGCTATAAAAAAAAATATATATATATATATATGCTTATAGAGTCAAATTTGTGTCCCCAAATGTCCTTCATTGTAAGCCCATTCACTACAGCCTGGTCAACCTACCAAGAGTCTTACCCTTAAACGAGACTGTCTCTCCCCCTCCCAGCAATCATCCATGGCTAACAGTTCCTCAAGTAGGGTTGGGGTTTCTTATCCACTTCCCCTCATCTATATATATATATATATATATGCTTATAGAGTCAAATTTGTGTCCCCAAATGTCCTTCATTGTAAGCCCATTCACTACAGCCTGGTCAACCTACCAAGAGTCTTACCCTTAAACGAGACTGTCTCTCCCCCTCCCAGCAATCATCCATGGCTAACAGTTCCTCAAGTAGGGTTGGGGTTTCTTATCCACTTCCCCTCATCTATACTGGGATTTTCTCTTGTTTGAGCTTATGTGGGACTTGTGCATAGTGTCACCATTGCTGTGAGTTCATATGAATAACTGCCCAGCTGTCTGGAAGATTGTTGCCTTGTGGTCATCCACCTCCTCTGGCTCTAACAAACTTTCTGCCCCCTCTTCCACAATGATCCCTGAGCTTTTCTTGCACCACTCTAACAGATGTAGAAGTATATCTCTCCCCCGTGGCTTGGTAACATGGTTTCTGCCTCTCTTCATCTCCTTCCTTCCCTCTTCCCTCCTCTCTCCTGTTCCCTCTTCTGTCTTTCTCTCTCTTCTCCTCTCACAGGCCTTGTGTTGTTATGTAAGCACCCTCCACTCAGCCATAACTCCATCCCATCTCTCCATCTTGATCCAATCTGACTCCAGAATCCATAAGTGACCACCTCTCCCCAGGTCTTATTGCCCTGGCCCTGCTGATATCACATGATGCCTAGCACAGAGCCTGGCCATGGGTTCCTCCCATACCATATTTGGAAGGTCTGAGCTTTGTGGCTTCTCCCACAGGCTCTTCTTGCTCTTTGACCTCCAGATGACAAGGCACATAGCCTCTTCCAAGCACTTCTGTGCTTCTGGCCTGGGCACTGTTCCAGAGAGTCCCAAGCTACAGCCCAGAATTAATAGAGTTCCAAGCAAGTGCTAGGCACACACAGACATACACGCACACACACACAAACTTTAGTTACCCATATGTTGGTTCCATTTTTATTTTTCAGATGAGGAAAATTCCTCTTTTTCACTACTGGAGTGAGGATTTGAACCTAGACCTGAGTGACATCAAATGTGGGGCTTTCTCTTCTACCTCGCTCCTGCCAACTGTGCGGCAAGGACAGCAGAACAGTATGAGCTGAAAAGAGAACAGGGAGAGCTGTAGAGACTTAAAGGAGGGGGGTCTTTTCTGCTTTTGTTTCTCTGCCCAATAGTGGGCAAAAGAGTACCGCACAAATCTGATAAGCAGGGGGCCAGAAGTGCCCACTGGAGGGCAAGCAAGGGGTAGCAGCCCCTGCTGGCCACTATGAGCTTAGAGAGCAGTTTGAAAGAATGAGGCCAAGGTCTAGAATGAGTTATCTCCCATGGAAAGCAGAGGCCATCTGCTAGGCCCAGTGTTTACCCTTAAGACAAGGGCAAGGCCCTCTGAAGCCATTCTAGTTCCCTCAGGATGTTACAGCCCTAAGCCCTGTAGAGAAGCTCATGGGACAGTGGCACCAGCTTCCTGATCAGGACCCATTTTATGTTCTGTGCTGGGCTAGGAACCCTCCCCCCAATTTGCCTCCAGGAAGCCAGAAACCTAGTTTGGAAGAATTTTAAAGAAATATCTTGACCTCTGTGTTGGTCAGGTGTTTGTTTTGTCACTGACAACATACCTAAGCAGAACTACTTAAGGGAGGAATGTTTTATTTGGGCTCAGGATTTTAGAAGTTTCAGTCCATCGTGGTTGGGTGCAGGCAGGGCAGAACACAGCACAGCACAGCAGCAGGCCTCATGGTAGCCAGGAAGCAAAGGAGCGCCCAGTCTCGTATGCTTCCTTCTTTTTTCTCCTTTTCCCTCTTTACTCCATCTGGGCCTTTGGACTATTGCATAACGCCACCCACCTTTTAGGGTGGTTCTTCTCTACGTGCTAAACCTTTTTGGAAGTACCCTCAGAGACATACCCAGAGGTGAGCTTTAATAATCTTTTAGGCATTTCTCACCCCAGTCAAGTTGACAAGATTAACCATCACAAGTCCAATATTTGTCAACTTGACACCTAAACACATCTCCTCAATCATAGTTAACTTCCAAATAAAAATAACAAAGCCATGACTCCATCTAACGTGATATGACCCACACACAACTGAAGCATACTAACCCTTCCCCCAAAGGCTCAGCAGTTCAAGTATTGTTCAATAGTTCAAGTTTCTTCCGTGGTTCAAGACAAACTTCTAGCTGTAAATCCCTGTAAAATCATAAAACAAGTTGTATACCCCCAAGACACAATGCCGTAAAGTAAACATTCACATTGCAATGGAAAGAATGAGAGAATAGCAAGGAAGGATGGAATCAAAGCAACCAAAACCTGGTAGAGCAAACAAATCCTGTAACTTCATGTCTGGCCTCCAGTGCATGTGATACAATGTG